CCCCAAAACCCCAAAACCCCAAAACCCCAAAACCCCAAGAATGTTTAAAAATATAGAAAATATGCTTAACCAGCCTATTGAGATCAGCGATTTCGATGTGAGCCAAGAGGACATCCCAGGTATGTGCCACTAATAACTCCTCGCTTGGGGTTCTGGCCAGCAAAATCAGTACCCATAGCTGGAATACACTGTGTCTGAAAATTTCGAAGATATTAATTTGATCATAGAAGAAATAAAAAGTGAAATCCTTCGTCAAAGCGAAGATTCAAAGGAATCCTCAAAGGAAAACTCTAAACACGATGAAGACTCTGAGTCCAAAACTGAGGTTATCAAGACAGGTCGATTGAGTCATTCCTGGTCTGATAGAGGTAATTGCTTCCATTCTTAATTTGCTAATACATTAGATAATCAAAATTCAATCACTTCAGAAGAACAAAAGCTTCCTGATAATGAATCCGAATCGAAGTCAGATAGGTCATGGTCATCATCAGAGGAAGAGAAGATTCAGAAGTAAGCTAAGTGAGATATCCCTTCCTGCTGATGGAGAGTACCTTGGAGTTAGAGGCCTCCTGAACAGAAAGAAAAAGAATAAATATTATGAATCAGATAATAATACTTCGAGGCTCAGAGCCACCTTGGACCACAATGAAATTGCATTTGGTCTAGATCTTAAGTAACTTGTCTCTTAATTCCTCATAGGAAAGGACTCTTGGAGCCATACTTGACAAAAATACGGTCAAGTGAGGAAACGCTACTCAAGTTTCTGTGTGATTATTGCGAAGGGCTGCCAAACTGGATTAACAAACCTATCTCTCTTGCTTGAGGACATAACATCTGAGCCCATTGTTTCCGAATGTATATTAACGAAGAATTTAACGAATCTCGAGTCAAAATTTACTACACTTGTCGAAGTTGCATGATTGAACAAAATATTTTCCTGTCAAAAGACCTAATAAACTTCCCTAAGCTCACCCAAATTTACAGGTATTGTCCACTAGAAGCGATGAGGTTTGAGAGATACTTTAATGCGACTCTCAACGAGGGATTTGTTGAATACATTTACACGATAAAGTCAAGAGTCGATGAACTAGAATCCTCGAGTAACAGTCTCCAGTCCCAAATTGAGATATATGCCAAGAGAGCTCATCAGGATACACTGTTTTACAAAAACCGAATAATGTCCTTTGGAGCCCAAACCGAGAACCATAAGGTTCAATATGACCGAGAAATCATGAAAGATAATGAGCTAATCTCAGAATTGCACTGTCCAAGATGTGGGATAGACTACAAAGATAAGGTATTCAACTTCAAATTTCAATGCTCCCAATGAACGAAGGAACTCTGTCTGGGCAAAAACGCTTATGCTCAGAACCAAGCTTTCCAAGACTCTGAAGAAGAGTCTTTGCTTGAAGACTCAGTAGTTAACTGAGTTATCTGACAAGGACCTCCTTACTATGCCAGCTGCTCCATCCCGATTGAACGAAGAAAAAGGATCTCCACCAGAAGAGCTAAGAAATTATATGTTGAAAGGAATAAGGGCAAGAAACTCAGGCTAATTCTGAATGAAGACCCTCGCAAAGCAGAGAACGAGCAAAAGAACTCGAAAGCCTTAACTGGCATTTTCAAGCGTTTCAAGCACCTCATAAAGGAACAGATTGAGGAAAAGAAGGAAGAGAGAGCTGCTAAAGAGCCTAAAACATGTAAAGAATGTAGTGGTCTCTTTACTATGATGAATATGGCCTATAAACTAGTAAAATGCAATCATATCATCTGCAGTGAATGTATGAAAACAGCACTTGAGGATGATTCACAAGAGAACTGATATTCTCTCAAATGTATAGTCTGTAAACAAGATGACCAGACCAAAATTAAGATTACTCATTCCAAACTGGAAGAAGTGAAGGACCCCAAGAGTCTCATTCTCTTAAAAATAGCTCAAGGCGGATACTCAGAATACGTGATTGAAAATAAGGAATCAGTTGACCACAATATCAACGAATTCAGGGAACTTGTAATCCGTGAGGACAACATCATCATGGAAGAGAAGGGCAAAAAGAGAGATTTTTGTCCAAAATGCATGAAGAAGTATGACTTCCACAACCCTCCTCATGCACTCCGCTGATGTCATCGTCTCTGAAGAGATTGTATTAGAGAACTCTATGATGAGAATGCTCCGAAGATTAAAATAAAGTGCGCAGTTGATGAAAAAGAGCACGAATATCCAAAACCTGCTGATCTTATCGAAAACGAAGAAAATAAAGAGCGGTTTGACAACTTTAATGCTTTTATTGAAATCACCATCCCTGTCGATTTTGAACTCTTTAATGAAATCTTCTATGGCGACATTGCCTTCGGAGATGAAGAAGAACTCCAAATCCGGGAGGTATATGTCCAAGGAGAAGGAAAATTTACAGAAAAGCTTCGTTCTGGAACAATTGTCTCAATGAAGAAATCTGCAGGCCTTTCTACATCTCTCAACAGGGAAAAGTTCATTGAACAATTAAAATACGACTGTGAATGCCCTATCTGCTTGATGTTCTACACCAGGGAGAACCCGCCTCTAATCTATCACTGAAGGAACCACTCTTACAAAATTTGTAAAGAAAGTATGGCTATGTTCTTAAAAATGGCTGCTAAAAAGAATGAAAATTTGACAATAGACTGCCCAATATGAGACAACGTACTTGAATTCAACACTCTCAATAGATCGCTTGAAGACTGTCTTGAAGATTTTGAAGAAGACACTGACCTGCTAGACAAGGTTGACAAGTACCCAGAGCTGAAGAAAATGATCGAGGATGACTATAAAAACTTCTAACCTGAGTTCCTAGAATTACAGCCGTATTTCCAATCTCTCCAAAATTTGTTGGGGTTTTGGGGTTTTGGGGTTTTGGGGTTTTGGGGTTTTGGGGTTTTGGGG